TGAAACTTTATAAAACTTAATGAAGGCATGATATCTACCTTTTTGAAGAAGAAGATCAGTAAGATGTCACAAAGAGGTTAGTTGCCCATTAAGGATAATTAAGTTATAAATTTTGGCAGGAACAGGGATTCAGGGATAGGTACATCATTACTGACAACCATTATACTTACCCAAGCCTTTCAGTTATTAAATTTACAGTTATAATTCCATAAAAAAAGTCTCTTGCCTTTTAAAAATTTCTCTTTCAATCATTATGTAGGCTGAGTTGGCTAATAGATAGGGGAAACTATTCCATAATTCAAAAATTTGGTATCTGTTATTTTTGCTAATAACTAATTATCTCAGTACATATTCTCTGATGATAAAAATAGCATCATGTATATGTTTTTTAGAGCTGGAAGTCATCTAATTTGAACCCCTTATATGGCAGATGAAGAAAGTGAGGGCTAAAGAGGTTAAAGGTCATGCAGATAGTAAAGTGAAAGAATCAATCTTAAATTCAAGTTCTCTGACTATACATCCTACATTCCTCCTACTATACCAGGCTGTCTTAGTAATGTGGCAGTATTTACAGAACAAGGTAATCCTAAGGTGGAGCTTACGTAAATTGTGTACAAAACAATTTTTTTCCACAATGGCACTGAGAACTAGGTATTGACAATATTATAATCTCCATTTTACAGATAAGGAAACTGAGGTTCGGAGGTGGCTAAATAACTTGCATAAGGTCATCCAACTAGTGAGTATTGGATCTAGGACATGAATGCAGATCTTCTGAATTCAAGTCCTGTAATTTTTCTACTTTTTAAAAACTTTTGACAAATAATCTGAACCTTTTGACCTGTTTCTTCTGTTTATTTTTAAGTAGCCTTCTCAGAAGAAAAAGAAGAAATTTTCTTAATCTTTATTACCATTTCTTTGCAAATGAACTGGGTTTTTCTAAGTGAACAGTCATGTCACCTGAAAATGGAGATACTTTTGGTTTTTCTTTGTAGATGTTTATAGATTTAATTTCTTAATCTTGTCTTGATATGGTGGATAGAGCACTGAGACTAAAATTAGGGAGACCTGAATTCACATGTGATCCTAGACACTTAGTAGCTGTGTGACTCTAAGCAAATTATGGTCTGTTTGCCTCAGTTTCTTGATCTGTATGCTTGGGAAAAAATGGCACCTTCCTCATAGGACTGTTGTGAGGATCTCATGTGATAACAACTGTCAAGCACTTAACCACAGTACCCAGAACATGGTAAGTGCTATATAAATGTTATCTATTAGATGTCAGATAATGGAGAGATAGAATATCCTTGCCTTAATTCTGCATTTATTGGGATTCCAGTGCTTCCTCATTACAAATAATGCTACTTTTGTCATATATCTGTATCTAAATATATTTATATACCATATATTTACTTGTATAGTTATATTTTCAGATTATCTTTATGCACTTATAGTTTTTAAGGGATTTTTTTAGACACAAATTACAGTTGTGCTTTCTTTTCTTTTTTGTTATAAACTTAGTTATTAACAAATACAAACATCTACAAATACAAAGAACACTTCTATTCAGTTTAAAAAGTGATATATGTGTATAGATGTCATATACATATACATAAAGTTTAACATGATATTAATGAAACTGTTCTATTTTGTCCTCTGTTGCACTTTTTATGTGCATTTTAACACATTTAATTTACATTATTTTTTGTCTATCACTATTAAATAATTGTTCCCTAAAGTAAAAACCCTCTTTCAAAAGAAACATGCATAACAAGGCAAAACTAATCTATATATTTGCAATGTCTGGGGATGTATAATTTCATTCTGTATTACCAAAGGAGGTATGTTTAATGATGATATATTTAATGATCAGTCTTTTGAAGTCATTATTGGTTGCCCTTTAGGTCAGAATTTTTTAGTTTTTAACAGCCAATCATCTTCACAATATTATTATTTTCATCATACAAATTGTTTTCCTACTCATTTTACTCTGAATTAGTTCATCCATATCTTTCCATATTTTTCTGAATCTGCTATAATCATCATTTCTTAGTCACTTGTAAGTGTGGGCTAAATACATGCTTCTAGGACCACACTTAAGAATGTTGTAGGCTATGTGTTTGACATCTCTGTTTGGAAATAAGCCATTCAAAGATGGCAGATTAGAGGTGACAGAGCTGAACTCCCTCAACATTCCCCTCCAAATAATGTCAAAATGATGCCTCATGTCAAATTTTGTAGTTGAAAAGCCAAGAAAAGGTCAGGGTTAGACATTTTTCTGACCTAAGAAAACTCAGGAGATTAGCTGGAGATGTTTGTGATACTGGGGTGAAAGCCTCCCTAGAGACCACGCATTCCAAAGCTGTTGTAGCTGCAGCAGCAGCAGCAACAGCAGCAGCAGCAATAGAAGCAGAAGCAGCAAGCTCAGAAGCTTCAAAAGCTCTTGGCACAAGTGACAGCAAGGGGATTGGATAACTGGTCAGAAATAAATGACAGCAGACCCTTTGCTGGCATTACGTGCAGCTGTCATTGATTGGCAACTCTATTGCCCAAATACAATAGTGGGTCGTGGTTCCATGGGGAAGAGGTGAGTAGTGGGAGTCAGTCACAAGGGAACAGGGGCCTTAGTCATAGTTCCAAGGCAAAGAAAGCATTACCACTTGTGGTTGTAGGAGACCAGGGGCCCTTACTGGGTTAAGACCTGAGTGAAGGCCCAAAGAACAGTGACCCTACCTCTCCCAGGATCACACCACCTTAGAGACACTAAATACTTGCAGACCCCCTGAACTAGCTCTGAAAACAGCAACATGAAAAAGCCTGAAGCTTGGGACAGTATCTCCCCACCCCTAAGTGAGCAGAGCTCAACTTTAACATAAAGTTTAAAGTCAAGAAATAGTCAGGAAAAATAAGGAAACAACAAAAAAAAATTAGCTTGACCACAAAAAGCTACTATATGGCAAAGAATATCAAGACATAAATTCAGAAGAAGACAGTAATATAAACAAAATGAAACAAAACAAAATAACACACAAAAAACACCCAGCTACAAATAAAGCCTCAAAGACAAATGCCAATTAAAACCAAGCCTAATAAGAATTTCTGGAAGAGTTAAAGAAGGAGATGAGAGTAGTAAAGGAAAAATTGAGAAAAGAAATGAAAATGTTTATAACCTAACCCCCTCCTACCATTCCAGTTTTCTTATGCCTCACTCCCTGACTCTTCAGTCCAATGATATTGGCTTCTTGGCTGTTCCACAAATAACACACTTCATTTCTTGACTTTGGACATTCTCTCTGTCCCTCACATCAGGAACATTGTCCCTCCTCCACTCCAACTATGGATGTCCCCAATTAAAATCCTTCTTCCTATAGGAAACCTTCCCCAATCCCTCTTAATTCCAGTATTTTAATTTCTCTTTTAATCATTTCCTATGCAGCTTGTAGATAGTATGTTTTGTATATATTTGTTTACATGTTTTCTCTCTATTAGATTATAAACTCCTGGGGGAGGGCAAAGACTGTGTTTTGCCTCTTTTTGTATCTTAAGTACTAAGCACTGTTCCTGGCACATAGTAGGCACTTAATAAATATTGATTGATTGAAAATGGTGTCCTCTATCCTTGACACCCTTGTTCCCTTGTCCTGCCACCTCTCATTCACAACTATAGACCACATACATGCTCTATTTCTTTATCCCTCTCTCCTCTGCCCCAGTGCTTGAGAACAAGGGTTCTTATACTGGGTTCTTATACATAGTTGTTTAAATCTATTCATTTAACCCTCATTATCACTTTTTTCAATCTTAAATTAACTCTGGAGTTAGTTACTACATATGTAATTCTTTTCTCAACATCAAGACCTGAGGCAGCTCAGATCTTATGGCAGCCCATCCACCAACCTTATCAATTTGATATCAGGAATCTCTACCTTCAAGTCTTGGTCTTTAAGATGAGGATAGTAAAATATTCATGATCTAAATCAAAGGCTTAATTAAAGATTAAAAAATAATGGTTGTAAAGTACTTTAAAATATATAATTTTTTCCACTGTATCAGGAAATATTACTCTATGCATATCATACTTTACTTCATATTACATTGATTTATATTCTTGTCAAATTCCCCTTAGGGCTGTGCTTAAAAGTAGTTCCCATTTTGTTTCCTCAATATCATACCATGTAAGTAAACAATATTTGTTTTGCTTTTTTATTTTTTAAAGTTTAATAGCATATTTTCCCCCAATTAAATGTAAAACAATTTTTAACATTCATTTTTCAGAAGATTTTGGGTTCCATTTTTTTCTCTCTTCCTCTCTCTCCCTCTCCAAGATGGCAAGCACTCTGATATAGATTAAACATATTCAATCACGTAAAAACGTATTTCCACATTAGTCATGTTATGAAAGAAGAAACAGAAAAGAAGGGGAAAAAAACAAGGAAAAACCCAAAAAAGTGAAAATGTATGCTTCAGTCTGCATTCAGACCCCATCAATTCTTTCTCTGGATGTGGGTAACATTTTTCATTATGAGTTTTTTGGAATTGTCTTGGATCATTATATTGCTGAAAAGAGCTAAGTCTATCAAAGTCAGTCATCAGACAATGTGGCTGTTACTGTGTACAATGTTCTTCTGGTTCTGCTCACTTCCCTCAGCATCAGTTCATGTCAGTCTTTCCAGGACTTTCTGAAATCCGCCTGCCCTCATTTCAGCTAAGATTATTTTAAAAGTATTTGTTAAAGTGAACTTGAGTTGTGAAGCTTTGGTTGTGAGTGCAGCTCTGAAAGGATTCTAAAGCAGAGCCTAGAGTACCAAGGTGTGAATCAGGTGAGTTGGAGTTGGCACCTACCAGGTGTGAATCTAGAGAGATGGAGCCTGGGGGCTCCGAGGGATATAAAAGGGACAGACCATCAACCTCAGCTTCAGACTTTGACTCTTGGGAGATCATGTCTGGAGCTACAGAGCCTGAAGGAAATCCAATAGATCAACAGAAATAAAGAAATATGGCTGCAGTTCATTTAGCTGAAGACCTCAAGGAAGAGCTGACCTGTCCTGTGTGCATGGACTACTTTAGCCACCCAGTGACCTTAGGTTGTGGCCATAGCTTCTGCCACCTGTGCCTCCTCAGGAGCTGGGGAGAAGCTGACCAGCCCAGCTTTTGTCCTGAGTGCAGAAGAGCCTTCCACATGAGAGACCTAGAGCCCAACCATCGCCTAGAGAAGCTGGCCAGCATAGCCAGGAACCTCAGGCCCTACTTGCTGCAGATCAGAGAGGAAAAGATAACATGTGAGAAGCACAAGGAGGAACAAAACCTGTTCTGTGAGGAGGACCAAGCCTTCCTCTGTGCATCTTGTTTCCAGAGTCAGGAGCACAGCAGTCACACGGTGCAGCCTCTAAACAAAGCTGCAGAGGCTTCTCGGGACAAGCTCCAGGAAACTTCCAATCTTCTCTGGAAAGAAGTGGAGACCATCCAGAACATGCTGGCTAAAGAGAGGCAAAAAGAAGAGATCTGGAACAAACAGACAACTGCTTGGAGGGAGATTGTTAGAGCTGAATATGGAAGATTACTTGATTTCCTCAAGGATGAAGAGAAGTGGTACCTTCATAGACTAGCTTGGGATGAAAGGGAAAACCTGCAAAAGTTAAGAGAAAGTGAAGTCAGGTTCTCACAGCACCTTCAGAAATTAAGGGAAGAGATCATAAACATTGAACAAATCTGCCAGAAACCCAATCCCCAGCTTCTACAGGTAGCAGGAGAAACATTTAGAAGGATTAAATCACTGTTGAATGACCATCCAGAGCCTGCCAGACATCCACTGACCATGACTTGCATCACTGGGATGTTTGAAATGATGAATAAATTCAGGGTGAATGTGACTCTGGATCCTGAAAGTGCCTCTCCCTATCTCATTGTGTCAAGTGATTTGAAGACAGTCAGAAATGGAGGATACCTGCAGAATGTACCTGTCACCCCAGACCGATTTGAAGATGAGATCATTTTGGGGGTTCAAGTCTTTACCTGTGGCATTCACTACTGGGAGGTGCATGTGGGAGACAGTCAGCAATGGACAGTTGGTGTGTGTAAGGAGTCACTGAGCAGGAACTCTGATGTCCCACTCTTTCCTGGGGATGCATTTCTGATTACATATATACAAAGTGAAGATACTTACACTATCATCAGCAATTGCTCCCAGATACCAAAACAGTCAGTGTACCCAATCCACAGGGTAGGGATTTTCCTAGACTATAATCAAGGCCTGATTTCATTTTATGATGCCCTGGAGAGATGCTTTATATTGAGTTTCCCACATTTCCCCTTCTCTGAGCCTCTGCGACCAGTATTTTCTCCTTGTCCCCCAATAGAGGGGGAAAATTCAATTCCAATGTCCATCATACCATGAGACATTGATATCTGATATCTCTTCTATCCCAGATACTTTCTAAGGTATACAGCTCCGAACTCTTGACCATGATCATGATGGGCAATAGAAAAGCATTTTTTTCTTAGTGATTGGATGTCATCCAACATCCATTATTTGAGGAGAAATCTAATCAAACAAATATAAGTTCAATTAAAAAATAAAAAAGACCTTTTAAAAAAACTATTCTCTTTTTATTAATTTATTTTAAACTTAAACACTAAGAAAAAAATTATAAAGTTAAATACTAAAACTTAAATACAAAACAGGAAAAAAAAGGGTTGCTATGTGCACAACAGAATGTAAGAGAGAATTCAAAATATGCAGCAATAAGTTTCCATTGCAAGAAGCCCTATATAATAAATACCGCACATTGTGTTCATAGCTTCCTTGTAAGTTTTCCTTTGTTCTCTGCTGTGCACTTTTTACCATGTTCTTTTTCCCCTCCTCCCTCTACTTTCCTCCTCCAAGAAGGCTACAATTAAGTTTTCATATACATACATATACATACGTGCACATTCATACATACATTCATATGGTTGACAGGATTTTACTGTGCCGCTTTCTAACCTGATGATGATGAAACAGCAGGCCAGAGACAAAGTGCCCAAAATCAAGTAGCAGTTTAATTAGTTTCATTATGAGGGACCGATTTGCAAATGGGGAATTCTCCTGATCAGAATTCCACCTTGCTGTAGTGAAGGCAGCGTTTATATACATAAATCATAATAAGAAAGGAGGATGGAAGGTGGATTACGGACAATCGTTTTTCATGACAAGCCCACAAGTCCCACAATCACTAAGGTTCAGGTGTCCTAAAGTTCTCTAGGAACAGCATTGTTTTAGGTCCTTAGGGTGGGTCACAGACCCAGAGTTCTGTGACAGCAACAGGTTCTATTATCTTTGATTAGCTTCAATTAAGGTACACAGGCATAAAAATGCAGTAATTATGAGAGCATAGCCAAGGTTTTGACTGATCACTTCAAGCTGCATTATGAGCTTCTGATTCACAAGCTCAAAGAGGTAATTCTGAAAAACCTGAATTATTAGTATATTCATTATACCCATATTGGTTATTATGAAAATCATAATTCTCTTCATACTCCCTTCTTTCCATCAAAGATTGGAATGACCCTGAAGATCTCTAAGGAATATTCATCCGAAATATGATTTTAAAGGGAAACATGCTTCAGAATGTTTTGGTCCCTTTTTCATAAATCTTCCACTTGCTTGTTTAGAACACTAAGTTCTTTCTCTGTTTGAGAGGATTGGTTGACATAGAAACAACATTCCTTCCCAAGATGGTGCTGTAGAAGCCACTCACTCAGGAGTTTGAAAAGTTAAGCTTTGGTTTTCACTGCTTGGTCAAACAAGTCATTTCACAGCTTTGAATGCTGTTTTCTTGGATGTGCCCTGGAATTTTAATTACTGCTATGGCCTGGGGAAGTAGTAAATAGCCTAATAAATAAGAAATCTGTTTCTGAGTTTTAATGGGCTGTCCTGAGGAGGTGAGGAGACTCTAGATGTTTCCATGGCATCCCAAAGTCATGGTCCAAAGTGTCATCCTCACTTTCCACTTCAGGTAAATAGGTGGCAGGATTGAATGTGCTTACACTAACTACATTCTCTCCTTTCTCAGATGGGAACAAATCAGATGGGAGAGCTAACAACGGGTGAGACACTGACAACAGAACTGAATCCATTAGCATCTGAAGCCCTCAAACTAGAGGGAACTTGGTTAAGAGCCAGATGGTCAGAAGGGGTTGAGGACAAGAAATCAAAATGAATGATGAATGGGGACACTTTCAGAAGTGAAGGCTGTTGGGGATAAAAGATACAAGGAAGTAGTCCCACCTGAGTGAAATGAAATAGTGGCCTGTCCTAGTAAGTGGCTAGGGACCTCAGGGACAATGACAAAAGCATGAAAATCTCTGGTCCCTCCAATATAAAGGGAGAATGGTTCTGAAACAATGGTCTTGTCAGCAATCCCTATGACTGAGATACGCTCTTGACTCCAGGGGAGGGGAATGGTGAAGGCAGAGGGGCAAACTGAGAGTGTGGCACCTATATCAACCAGAGCAGACTCCTCTTACCCCTATTTGAGCAAGGAGCAGTCTCCAACGGGAACACCTCCAAATGCAGCAGCAGCAGCAAAGGCAGCAGCAGCAGCTTCAAAAGCTATTAGTCCAGTGACAGTCAGGGTGTTGGATAACTGGTCAGAAAGAAATTACAATGCACTCTGTTGGCATTGGGTACAGCTGGAACTAACTGGCAACTTTATTGCCCAAATGCAATAGTGGGTCATAGGTCTGTGGGGAAGAGGTGAGTGATGGGGGTCAGTCACAAGGTAACAGGCCCTGCTCACAGTTCCAAGGCAAAGAGAGCATTAGAGCATTCCAACTCTAATTTCACACTGTCAACCATGGTCAACATAAGAAAAGAAAAAAAAAGATTGCCATATGCATAGCAGAATGTAAGAGAGGATTCAAAATATACAGCAATAAATTTCCATTTCAAGAAAGCCTATATAATAAATACTGCTCATTGCGTTCAAAGCTGTCCATCTTTTCTTTGCTTCCTTGTAAGTTTTCTTTTGTTCTCTGCTGTGCCCTTTTTACTTTGTTTTTATATGGTTTTTAAGCTCCTTTTTGAGTTCTTCCATGAGTTCTTTTTGGGCTTGAAACCACTTTCATTGTTTTGGGGGGGGTTTTCCCATAGGTGTTTTGACATTGTTGATCTCTTCTGAGTTTGTGTCTTGGTCTTCCCTGTCACTATAACAACTTTCTAAGGTCAGATTCTTCAATTTTTTGGTTTATCTTTTGGGGGGCTTTTTTCCTTTCTTTTAAATTTGCTCTCTCCTCCCAGCATGGAAGGAGCTCTGTGCCAGGCTTCTTCTGCCTGCAGGCCTTGGCTGTTTACCTGATGTTTTCCTGATGTTTCTCTGAGGCCTCCAGGGGACCCGTGTGTCTGTTACTGTGTGAGGGAGTGGAATGGGGGGTGGTGGCTGGTGCTGTCAGAGGTCGTAGGGGTCTGGCAGCTTACATGGTGCTGAGCTGGAGTCCTATTGCTGGTGTCTGGTGTGTACTGAGGCCAAGTGGGGTTTTTCTGCATTTCCCCAGGCTACACTGAAATCACATGGCAGTTCTTAGAGCCAGAGTCTCCTGGTTCCCCGGGCTATGCTAAGGCATGTGGGGGATTCTGGTGTTGATGTTTGCCTGTTTCACTACACTGAGGCTCAGGATCTCCCACTGGTTTGCTGAGGTGGGGCTTACTGCTGGCTTGCTGGAATGCTTCCTGTCCTGGAAGGCACTCCTCTTTTTCCAGAGTGAAATGGATCTCTTGCCTATCCTTCAAGTCTGCTGGGCTAAAAGACCATCCCATCTTTCCTCTGGCTCTGCTGTTCCATGATTGTCCTGGGGCACTATTTTATGGTTGTTTGGAAGTGAATATAGGAGAGCTATAGGGATTTACTGCTTCCTCTGCCATCTTGGATACCAGAAGTCATATGTCCAGACCATTTCTTTGTACCCCACTAAAAGCGGCAAATGAATTAAAAATTAAAAAAAAAATGAGTGTTGCAAGAAAAATTAAGAGGAGGAGTGGAGCCAAGATGGCAGAGTAAAAGCAGAGACTTGCTTGAACTCTCTCCCAAATCCCTCCAAATACCTATAAAAAATGGCTCTAAACAAATTCTAAAGCAGCAGAACCCACAAAAAGACAGAGTGAAACAAATTTACCACCCAAGATAACCTGGATGGTTGATTGGAAAGGTATATTGTGAGTGAAGTTCAGGGTGGGTGTACAGGGAAGGCAGGCCTCAGCAAACCTGGAGCAGGCCTCAGAGGACAGAATCTCAGGTGGCTATGGTGGTTTCCAGACTTCTCAACCCACAAATACCAAAGAAAACTTAGAAGGTCAGTGGGAAAAGTCTGTGTCTGTGGTGAGAGAGAGAAGCATGGTCCCAGCCCCAGTCCCTGAGCTGTGCCCCAGGGTGGCTCAGAGCTTCAGGCCCACAGATTGAGGGGGAATTGAGTGGCTGATCTGAGGGGGATTGCAGGGATCTCTTTGCTGGTGCAGGATTCTCTTGCTTTGCCCATGCTTGAATCTGGATCACGGTTCTGGGTGGTGCTCCTGGGGCAAGGAGGAGTGCTGGTGTGGTAGAGCTTGTAGTGGCTGTGGAGAGAAAATCTTCCTCACAGTTCCAAGGCAGAAAAGAGTGCTTGTGGTCACTCACAGACCAAAGCACAGGCCAGAAAAGGAGAAAATACCTCGCCCTTTATCATACCATCTTTGAAGAACTGAAAATTTACAGGTCCCTAGAAGTATCTCTAAAAACAACTGTACAAAATCCCCAAAGCTTTGGACAGTACATTCTCATTATTAGCACAGTTGAAATAAGTTTATATAGACAAAGGACATGGTTCTGAGTCAATTATGCTGGAATGATCTCCAAAATAATGAAGGGGTGAGAAAGAGGGATACACTGGGAGAAGGGGGAAGGGAGGGGAAATTTTTCTCACATAAAAGAAGCATGCAGGGAAGAGCTTTTACACACACTTGTTGTTTGTCCTTTGTTTTTAACAAGTAGAGTGATGCCCTGACTTGTGTGTAATTTGGATTTAAGTGAGGCAGAGCTGCACCATGACTGTCAGCCTTACTCTGTCTTCCAGAGTCATCAAAGTCCAGTAGCAAGACTAAAGTGAGGATGACTGGTGATGGGCCTGGCTGTAGTGAATGATCTGGGTGTCTTCAATGTCTGACTAAACCCCAAGTGCTCCACAGTGTCTGCTTCAGCTGTCTTCATGACCTTTGGAACAAATTGTTCTTATCTGCCCATTCCACTGGGGGAAGTCTTCATACATACATACACTAATGAATTGTTGGTGAAGTAGTGAACCGGTCCAACCATTTTGGAGAATAATTTGGAAATAGGTCAAAGGGCTATAAAGCTCTTCATAGCCTTTGACCCAGTAATAAAACTGCTAGGTCTGTATTCCAAAGAGATCAAAGAAGGAAAAGGACCTATATATAGAAAAAATCTATATAGCAGCTTTTTTTTTTGTGGTAGCAAAGAAATGGAAATCAAAAAGATACCCACCAGTTGGGGAATGGGCAAACAAGTTATGGCATATAATTGTGATGGAGTACAATTGTGCTGTGGGAAATGATGAGGGAAGTGATTTCAGAAAAACAAATGACAAAACCTGTATGAACTCATGCAAAATGAAGTGAGAAGAACCAGTAGATCATTGTGCACAATAATAGTAATGTTGTAATGATAATCAAGGGAAAGACTTGGCTACACTGATCAAGACAATGATCCAAAACAATTGCAAAGGACTCATGATGAAAAAATGTTTTCCACCTCCAGAGAGAGAACTGATAAACTGAATTCAAGTTGAAGTATAATTTTCTCACTTTATTTTTCTTGCTTTTAAAAACATGACTAATATGGAAATATGTTTTGCATGATTTCTCACGTATGATTGATATCATTTGCTTGCCTTCTCAGTGGGCAGGTGTGGGTGTGGATAGGAAGGAGAGAATTTGGAACTCAAAATTTTTTAAAAAATGTTAAAAACAAATAGTAAATTTAAAAAATATTTTTAAAAAGATCTCTGAAGAGATCATAAAAAGGGAAAAGGACCCACATGTACAAAAATATTTATAGCCTCTTCTTTGTGGTGGCAAAGAATTGGACATTGAGGGGATGCCCATCAATTGAGGAATGACTGAACAAGTTGTAGTATATGAATGTAATAGAATATTATTGTGCCATAAGAAATGGTGAGCAGAGGGACTTCAGAAAAGCATGGACTTACATGAACTGATGCTGAGTGAAGTGAGCAGAACCAGGAGAATAGTGTACATAGTAACAGCAGCATTGTGTGGTGACCAATTTTGTTAGACTTAGCTCTTCTGAGCAACACAGCGATCTAAGACAGTTCTAAAGGACTCATGATAGAACATGCTATCCACATTCAGAGAAGGAACTGTGGAATCTGAATGCAGATGAAAGCATGTTATTTTCTCCTTTTTTGTTTATATTATTGTTTTTATTTCTCATAGTTTTCCCCTTTTTGTTCTTATTCTTCTTTCACAACATGACTAACGTGGAAATGTGTTTAATGTTACCATAAAGTGTGTCAGATTGCATGCCATCCTGGGGAGGGGAAAATGGAGGGAGGGGGAAAAACTTAGAACTCAAAATCTTATAAAAGTGAGTGCTGAAAACTAAAAATAAACAAATTAATTAAAAAAATCTCTGATCTAGACTATTTCAATAGTTTCCTTATTGATCTTCATGTCTCTGCCCTCTCCAATACATCTTCCACATCTGCCCAAGTGTTCTATCTAAAGTACAAGAATTTTTTACTCTCTTGCTCAAGAAACCACAGTGGATTGAATATTGTGTAGAGAAGGCACCAAAAAGGCCAGTTTGACTGAAATATAAAATATGGGAAAGAGAGTAATATGAAATAAGATTAAAGGGTAGGCTGGAGCCTACCTTTTAAATTTTGAAGAATTTGAAAAGCCAGAGAAAGCTGTATTTTATTTCAGAAGCAAGGGGCATCTACTCTTGATCTCTTAATTTCTTCATCATAAAAATATACATAAAGGTTCTTAAGAGTTCTTTTACTTTCTTTATTATAAAAATTCGCTCTCACTATCTAGCTCTGGGACCAGAGTGTGCACTCCCACCCTCAAGGGAATAATTGATTCAATAGTTAATTCTTTAAAAGAAAAATAAGTGATCTCAGAATTCAGATTTTAGGATTCTGCCCA